AGAGAAAGATAAAATAGATACTGTGCACAAGACATATGTACCAACCGACACACTGTATAACTGAACTGTTTTATTTGTTGTTTTATGTTTTATGTCTTATGTTTATGTTTGTTGTCAAAAAATAAAAAACTTTTTTATTTAAAAAAAAAGAATTTCATTGTATGTATACTGTGTATATATGTGCAATGACAATAAAGAGTTCAAATTCTAGCCTATCCGATCTCTCGGTTAGATCAGGTTAAAAAAAAATTAATTGAACCGGAGGCTGCGATGATCTTCATCTAAAATATTCCAAACCGCCCCCCTTTTGGGCTTCTCAGCGGTTTGTCAGACTGACTCAAAATTATGAGTTGTAAAATTATGACACGGAAAGAGAGAAGTTCATTATTTTTCTCAAGTGTCATTTCTAGACGGAATGGACACATTAGGAAATCAGGCCAGACTCCAGATTACTTTATCGTCAAATGAAATGATATTAGCGGCAATTATCTGGCCTTGGATGAAACGGTGCCTTGAATGATAATGCAGCCCTAAAAAATTAAACATTTAAGCAATGACATTTCTTTTTTTAAAAAAAAAGTCGACAAAGGTTAATGGAAATGTTTTTCAAGGGAAGGAAAATTTGCATGCAACCTCCACACCACACACACACACACACACACACACACACACATTCACACACACAACACCGCAACAATCTAAAAGCAAGTGCTAAACTCAAGTCGACTGCGGCAAACTCAGGGGTGTCATGTTGGAGTTTGACTCCAAGGGAGAGGAAGAACAGCCGACAGGGAGTGGGAGTGGGGCTCCGGAGGTTGTGGAGGAGGCTGGGGAAGGGCAGAGGCCGGCTGGGCAGTCAGAGGAGGACCCAGGCCCATCCCCTCTCCATCCTAGGGCATGCAGGGAGGAGAGGATAAGGGAGAGAAGTAAATGGTGTGGTCTATGGGGGAGGAAAGGGCCTTGATCCCCTTCATGGGCTGCAGCTGTGAGAACTGTTTAAAAGGATGGACATGCGTATGGGCCAGTGCTGGAAACAAAACGTGGACATATCTCTAGTCTTGTCCATTCCTATCTGAGTTTGGCGTCCTTCCCAGTGTGTGTTCCGATATCTGTGGACGTCTTCAAGCCTTTATCTTGCCTGGTTCCCTTAATTGCTTCAGTGTGGTTTGTGTTGTTTTTATACTTTATAATTTGTAGGCATTTTAATTTAAATGGCGTTTCCTCCTTTTTGTAACTGCTTGTGGGGGAGTTTTTTGTTTCCAGTCAAGGATATTTGGAGCTTTGAAGCAAAGTGAAGGAAAAAAAGGGGCTTCACCTGTTTTTGTGACTGTGCTTATTTTATATCTCACCCTGGGTCATCATAGGGGTGCAGGAGGCAAAATGAATTTAGCATAAGAAAAAAAAAAGGTGAGAGGGCTATCGTCTTTAAAGGGTGTGACGAGAGGTACAGCATAGTTTTGAAGTAGCCACACATAGGCCCAGGTTATAAGTATGATTTGGCAATGTACAAATATAATAAATAAGTAAAAATATCAGATATGGCTTACGCAGAAAATACTCCCCCCTGTGAGCTCCTTGGTGCTCTATGAGCTTGGTTGGGTTTTTATTTTATTTTTTTGGCAGGTGTTTCATGACCCAACTAGGTAACATCATCAGTGCTAGAATGGAATGAGATGTTTGAGGAGGAAGAGGAGGAGGAGGACTCTTGGCGCGCTCTGAGCTTGACTCTTTTCTGCAGGTGTTTCATTAGCCAACTAAGTAACATCAGAGGGGGAGGGAGGGAGGGAGGGAGGGAGGGAGGAGGAGGAGGAGGAGGAGGAGGAGGAGGAGAACAGTGGGGTCCTTGGTGCCCTCTGAGCTTGGCTGTTTTCTTGCAGACATTTATTGACCCAATTAGGTAACGTCATCAGTGCTAGAAGGGAGTGAGGTTTGCAGGGGGGAGGATGAGGTGGTGGTGATGGTGGTGGAGGAGGAGGAGGAAGAAACAGATTATGGAATCCTTGATGTTCCCTGAGCTTAAGAGAAGCTGCGTGGCTCAAGACTTGCCCTTTTGACAGGTCTTTTAGTCCTTGACCTATAACCCAGAGGTGGTATATTCAGCAGGTTCTGACCAGTTCTGGAGAACCGGTAGCGTAACTTTTGAGTCGTTTGGAGGACCATCAAATCCCGCCTCTGACTGGAGATTTTACAGTATCCTTCCCCTGCCACGCCCACCAAGCCGCGCCCATGGAACCGGTGGTAAAAAAAATATTTGAATCCCACCACTGTTACAACCGTAATTGAACCCACAATTTCAGACCCAAGTCGTGCCGGTCATAAAGTGGATATCGCCACATAACTGTGCCCAATTTCAGGCCATTTTTGTGACGGTTGGCAATCGAATGCTGTGAGTTGTTACCATGGTTGCTAAATGGTTGCTAAATACCCAAACTGCACTTGTGCGACTCTGTGTGTGTGCGTGTGTCACATGCAAGCTGGGGGATTCTGGGAGTTGGAAGTCCACACGTCTTAAAGTTGCCAAATTCTTTTTTCCCTTTGAGTAAAAAAAACCAACCACCTCACTTTGAACAGCATCAAAAACAGCCCCTGTGAGGGGGACCTTGGAGTCTGAGTGGACGATCCCATAAACATGAGCCAGAGGTGTGCAGCAGCCGCCAAAAAAGCCAATACGATCCTTGGTTGTATAAACAAGAGGCATCAAATCAAAATCACGTGAAGGATTAGTACCACTTTATAAAGCCTTAGTAAGGCCACACCTAGAGTCCTGCATCCACTTTTGGTCACCACACTATAAAAAAAGATGTTGAGACTTTGGAAAAAGTGCAGAAAAGAGCAACTAGGATGATCAAAGACTCGGAGACTAAAACATACGAAGAACAGTTGCAGGTTTTGGATTTTGGCCAGTCTGGAGAAGTCTTGTGGTCCACCGGCGGAGAGGGCAGCAGAGTCGGACAGTAGGAAGGACCATGGGCCAGTCCTGGAGTCTGGGGAGGGCTCGGATGAGGGATCTGCGTCTGATAAAGAGGTGGGGCCAGGGCCATCTGGGAGTTATGTGCCGACTCCGGAGCCTCCAGAATCTGATATCAGTGAGGTAGAGGAATAGCGGGAGCCTGTTCCCAGTGCGCACTTGTGCAGAACTGCCAGAAGGCAAGAACAGCTAAGACAAAAGGGGCGCCTTGGCAGTAAGGCTTGGAGATGATTGGCCCCTTCCATAAGACATAAAGGAGGAGCAAAGGGACAGGAGCCTTTGCAGGAAGCAACTTTGTTCGTTCTGGTCAGTTTAAACTCTGAAGCTCTGTGTGGACTTTGTGCTCCGTTTGGCCTTGTACAGCCAATTGGCAATTTAGTCGTTGGCAGCATTTCAAGGGAGATAAAGGTGGGTGCTTATCAGACTTATCCCGAAGGACTGTGGCAGACATCCGTGGGACTATTTACAAACTGTTTGGAGACTCATTATGGGTTGTGAATGCATATAATTCACAGCCATTGAAATAAAATCAAAGGTTTTAGGGAACTTATTGTCTCAGGAAGCCTTGATCAGGACAAAAAGGAGGATTAAGGGTGACATGATAGCAGTCTTCGATATTTGAGGGGCTGCCACAGAGAAGAGGAGGGGGTCAACTTTTTCTCCAAAGCCCCTGAAGGCAGGACGAGAATCAATGGATGGAAACTAACCAAGGAGAGAAGCAACCTGGAATTAAGGAGGCATTTCCTAACAGTGAGGATAGTCAAGCAGTAGAACAATTTGTCTTTAGAAGTTGTGGGTGCTTCATTACTGGAGGTTTTCAAGAAGAGACTGGACAACCATTTGTCTCAAATGCTATAAGGTCTCCTGCTTGAGCAAGGGGTTGGACTAGAAGACCTCCAAGGTCCCTCCCAGCTCTATTCTGAATTGAAAAGTGAAAAGTGTACTGCCAATTCCTCCCTTTTGTGAACAGGAAGCCACCTAACACAGGCAGTTTGAAACATGGCCAATGTCATGCCCAACAGAGTCTGAATCCGAACAGCTAACAGGGAGCGGGAGTGTGGCTCCGTTGGCTGTGGAGGAAACAGGAAGGGCAAAGTCCGGCTGGGCAGAGCAGGGGGGAGGTAGAACAAGGGAGAGGGAGTTCAGAGGAAGACCCAGGCCCACCCCCTCTTCATCCTAGGGCACGCAGGGAGGAACGGAGAAGGAAGCAACGTGGGTTGCATGGCTTACGGGGGAGGAAAGGGCCCTGATTCCCTTCATTAGCCACAGCTGGGAAGAGAGTTTAAAAGAGATACATGCTGAGAGCGGCAGCTGCTGGGAACAAACGTGAGTTTATCTTGTGTTGACTTTGGTTATCTGCGTTCTTGGCGTCTTCCCAACCGGGTTGAATTACTGCCGTTCCTTCACGTCTGGAATTCCTTCTCCTGCCCTGCCGGACTAATTACCTCATTTTGCCTTGATTGGACTTATAGTTACAGTTTTTGTTGACCATGTTTTGGACTTGATTCACTGCATCCAAAGGCTGTTCCTGGGAGGGTTTTTCTCCAGCCCAGAAGGTAACCAGGACACCGGGGGCAAAGGTAGATCTAATAAAGGGACTCCTACTGGTTATCTGACTGTGTTGCCTTTGTGCCACACCCCTTTGGGTCATCACAGCCAAAGACCAGAACTTAAGTTACACACGCTTTATGTAGAAATGAACTGTTTTCGGAGAGAGAGAGAAAGAAAAAGAAAATTAGATAAGCATATGGCTTTATTATCCTTTTGATTCCTCCAGCTTTAAAATGCTACTGTCCTTCTATACTGTCTGTACACAACCTCCCCAGTTCCTTTGTCTTTTAGTTCAGCACGTGTAGGATTGTTGTCATTGTGCGACTCGGTGGTGGCCGTGGCGGAAGGGAAGGGGGGTTGGGTAGTGGGAACAGTCCTGCCTCTTGGCTACCACTATGAGGCCTGCCACAGGGCCACCTCTCCCCCCCCCCCAAGAGCGCGGTGTGCCCCCCCCGCTCCCCCCCCCCCCCCATTCTCCCTCTCAAAAGTGGACCCTCGAAACGTCGTGGGTGGCAAACAGCCTCTTGCAATTCATGCACAGGACAGAGGGAGATTTGGGTTGGTCAGCCAAACAAGCGCGACACACCAGATGCCGGCACGGGAGCTGGTAGACGGCCTCGGTCTTGAAGTAGGGAGAAAAGGCGCGGGAACAGGAAGAGCATCCCTGAGGGCCAGGGTTCCCGTCGTGCTCTGAGGGAAAAGAAAAGAACATGTGTTGACCCAGGGCGTGACACAAAAAGAACCAAGTCACAAAAATAGAATAAATTCCCTTTAATGCCTCCAACTTGGCCCCCAATGTCCAATTATCCTCGGCTGGAGATCAAACTCTTAAAGAAAACAGTTTACAGAGAGAGTAAATGCCGTCCGAACCTAAAGTAAAGTTAATTAGAAATATAAAAAAAACCCAACACAAACCACACTGAAGGAATTCATACGGCAGGCCAGGATGATAAATTGCAGACTTCCACCAGATAACGGAGCAACCACAGTTGGGAGGAAGCCATAACCCAGATAAGCCTCGACCAAGATAATGCACACTTTGCTTCCAGCAACTTTGCCATGCGCAGTTTGTCCTTATAAACAGTCCTCACAGCTGCAGCCCGTGAAGGGGATCAGGGCCCTTTCCTCCCCTGTAGACCATGCCACTCACGTTTCTCCCTGATCCGCTCCTCCTTGCGTGCCCTAGGATGAAGAGGGGATGGGCCTGGGTCTTCCTCTGAATGCCCAGCTGGCCTGCGCCCTTCCCCAGTTTCCTCCACAACCACCGGAGCCCCACTCCCATTCCCTGTCAGCTGTTCCACCTCTCCCTCGGAATCAGATTCCAACAGAGGCGTGACAGAACGACATGCAAAAAGTGAAAAGGGGGACTGTGGAGGCACGACCACAATTGACGCGAGGGTCGTCTTTTGGGTGTGGGGGTGTGGGCTGGAGTGGAGACAGCTATGCTCAACTAGGCAATAGGTCAATGTGTCTAATCAGATCCCTGTTTATTTTATTTGTATTGCCCCAGGGGTGGGATTCTTCCGGTTCGGACGAACCAGATGTTAAAGATACAGCTGGTTCACAGAACCGGTATTTCAACTGACCGTCTGGCCCCGCCCACCTCGCCCCTCCCCCTCCCAGCAGTCTCCACATAGCCCATTTTCCATGCAGGTAAGTGCAAGGTTCGTGCAGAGGTTCTGGGAGGGGGGGAAAAAGGCCTGTTTCCGGCTTCTTGTGGACCTCCAGAGCCCGGGGGGGAGGCTGTTTTCACCCTCACAGATGTCCTGGGGGAGGCCACTGGACCCTTTCATGCCTAAGGCAGGACTAGAACTCACAGTGTTCTGGTTGACTGGCCCAAAGGCACCCCCCCTGGCTTTGATGCCTAAAGTGGGACTAGAACTCACAGTCTCCTTTTATAGGCCATTTTCAAGTTTTCGTATTTTATTTGGACACTATCCCGAGTCTCTCTTTGTGAGAGACAGAGGGGCGGTCTCCAAATGTGATAAAATACATAAATAAAAATTCAACCAAGTATAGAGAAGCTAGCTATTCCGTTTGCCCTTTCTTTCTCGTGGGCGAGAGACTCAAATTCCCAAGGAGTCCGACAGGCAGCAAATCGGTCCCCGCAAAGAAGGGCAAAGAGGATGAGTTGGCCAACTTTTTCCTGGCTTTACCGTAAGCCCCGCCAGCCCCACAGACATCGCTGGAGCTGCTGCTGCTGCTGCTGCTGCTGTGCCCGTGTTGCCCGCCTTTAGCCAAACTCGCGGTGAACGGCATCGTGCTAAGTGCGGAGTTCAAGGCGCTGTCCAAACTTTCGGACAGCCTCTGTTCATGCGTCACCGTTTCTGTGAAGAGAGGGAAAAAAGATCTAGAGAGAGGCATCATGGAAGAGTCGAAGAGATCATCCTCCCTGGCGAATCAAGCTACAGATATGTGTTTATTTGTCTATCCAATATAGAGAGGGATGCCTAGTGGCACACAACAATCAGGTGGGAAATAGCAAATAAACAAAATGGACTCTGGGCCAATCACCAGGAGACGGTGAGTTCTAGTCCCACCTTAGGCACAAAAGTCAGCTGGGTGACTTTGGGCCAATCACCAAGAGATGGTGAGTTCTAGTCCCGCCTTAGACATGAAAGTCAGCTGGGTGACTTGGGGCCAATCACCAGGAGATGTTGAGTTCTAGTCCCGCCTTAGACATGAAAGTCAGCTGGGTCACCAGGAGACAGTGAGTTCTAGTCCCACCCTAGGCATGAAAGCCAGCTGGGTGACTTTGGGCCAATCACCAGGTGACAGCGAGTTCTAGTCCTGCCTTAGGCATGAAAACCGGCTGGGTGACTTTGGGCCAATCACCAGGAGACGGTGAGTTCTAGTCCCGCCTTAGTCATGAAAGCTGGCTGGGTGACTTTGGGCCAATCACCAGGAGACGGTGAGTTCTAGTCCCACCTTAG